GGCCCTGGTGGCGGTGGCTTCAGCTTGGAACAATCAGAGGGAGGGTTTCTGGGCAGCAGGGTGGTGCTCCCACCCGTGGGGCCCCCTGGGGAAGTGGGAGGACAGAGGGGGCCGGGCCCACAGGGAGCAGCCACGCTGCGTGGGTTAGGAGGAGAGGCGGTCAGGGCTGGTGGAGACTGCGGAGGGTCGGGGGGCCGGTGTTGGGGTGACCCCCAGGGAAGGGGCTGTCCCAGATCAGCTCCGGGGAGGATGGCAGTGCTGGTCGCCTGGCCGTCCTCTCAGTCCTGCGAGGGCTGCCAGGTGGGTGCCGCCTCAGCACGGGGGAGGGCGGGTGTGGGCGGTCTGGATGCTGGCCTCGGCCTGCGGGGCCCGGGAGGGTGCGCCCTCCCCTCCCCTGCTGCTCTCAGGGATGCTGGGCCTCGGTTAACGGAGCCAGGGCTCCCTCGGAGAGGAGGGCTTCCTGTCCCCGGGGTCAGCCCGCCCGCCGAGCGCCTCCGTCTGCGGTGTGGGACCGGCAGAGCCGGGAGGCTGGGTGTGGGCGAGGGAGCGGGTGGGACTCCTGTCCCCACCGGCCCCTGGAAAGGACGATGAGTTCTTCTGTGAAAACCTCGCAGGTGAGGGCTGGGGAGGGGGGCAGGGGACCCCAAGAAGGGCGGGAGCTCGGTGGGAGCCATCGGACCTCGCTGCCGGCCAGGACTGCGATTCCTGGGAAGAGGTTGCAAGTTCGGGAAGTAAGTCATCTTCCCTCTGGGACGTACCCATTTCACAGAACGGGGAGGGGGTTTGGGGGGTCCACTGCATGCCTGTCCCTGCTGTGGGGCAGGGGTGGGGCCGGGGTCGAGGAATGAACCATTTCAGTCAAAAGAGGGGGACAGAGAAGGAAGACGGACACCTGGTCAGGAACAGGAAGAGACAGAGGGCTGAGCGGGCCGAGGGTGAGAGCGGGGCCTGGGCCGTGAAGGAAGCGGGTGGCCGGCTGCTCTGCAGAGGGCGCTCCCGGGGGGACGGCCAGTGCAAAGGCCCTGGAAGCTGGAGCAGGTTCCCGGAGAAGAGCGGCCGGAGCGGGCAGGGCCCCGGGGACAGGGCCGGAGCGGGCAGGGCCCCGGGGACAGCGGCCGGAGCGGGCAGGGCCCCGGGGACAGCGGCCGGAGCGGGCAGGGCCCGGGGACAGCGGCCGGAGCGGGCAGGGCCCGGGGACAGTGGCCGGAGCGGGCAGGGCCCTGGAGAAGGGCAGCCGGAGCGGGCAGGGCCCGGGGACAGCGGCCGGAGCGGGCAGGGCCCGGGGACAGCGGCCGGAGCGGGCAGGGCCCGGGACAGCGGCCGGAGCGGCAGGGCCCGGGGACAGCGGCCGGAGCGCGAGCGGAGGGCCCGGGGACAGCGGCCGGAGCGGGCAGGGCCCGGGGACAGCGGCCGGAGCGGGCAGGGCCCCGGGGACAGGGCCAGAGCGGGCAGGGCCCCGGAGAAGGGCAGCCGGAGCGGGCAGGGCCCGGGGACAGGGCCGGAGCAGGCAGGGCCCGGGGACAGAGGCCGGAGCGGGCAGGGCCCGGGGACAGCGGCCGGAGTGGGCAGGGCCCGGGGACAGGGCCGGAGCGGGCAGGCCCGGGGACAGCGGCCGGAGCGGGCAGGGCCCGGGGACAGCGGCCGGAGCGGGCAGGGCCCGGGGACAGGGGCCGGAGCGGGCAGGGCCGGGGGACAGGGCCGGAGCGGGCAGGGCCCCAGGGACAGGGCTGGAGCGGGCAGGGCCCGGGGACAGGGGCCGGAGCGGGCAGGGCCGGGGGACAGGGCCGGAGCGGGCAGGGCCCGGGGACAGGGCTGGAGCGGGCAGGGCCCGGGGACAGGGCCGGAGCGGGCAGGAAGCTGGTGTGGCCGGTGTGGCCGAGAGGCCTTGGGGCCACAGTGAGGTCTGAGACCAGGACGGTGGGCCTGACCGCAGCCCGGGGGTCTGAGGGAAGTGGGCCCTGCATGGGTCATGCGGGGACGGCCTCGCAGGCCCTCCGAGGCGGGCGGCCGGGCCCAAGGCCTCCGTGAGACAGAGCTGCTTCCTCGGGGGAGGTCTGCGGGAGCCCGGGGAGGGGAGGGGGGAAGGGGGCGCTGGCTGAAATGCCCACTTCTCTGGACCATCGAACCCCGAGGGTCAGGAGCCCCTCCAGGGCCCCGCGGGCACTTTCCGCTCCTGGCTCAGGTCTCAGAGTTCCTCCGGGAACGTGGCGCGGCCTGACCACGTCCGCGGGCGGTTCGCCCTCTGCCAGGGTTAATGAGGCTTTGTAAGCTCAGCACGGGGCCTGCCAGAGTTCAGAAATGCAGTACCAGCACTCCCCTCGTCCTCTCTCATCTATGACCACCTACCTGCCTGTCTGTCTATCATCTGTCACCTATCTGTCATCTATCATCTATCTATCCATCTATCTACCCTGTTTGCCTGAAAATAAGACAGTGTCTTATATTAATTTTTGCTCCCAAAGATGCGCTAGGTCTTATTTTCAGGAGATGTCTTATTTTTCCATGAAGAAGAATACAGTACACATTTACTGTTAAATGAAAATAAAGGAAATTTATTATCTGTATGCTGTACTGTAGTACCGTAGTTGTCAACACAAACCAGACAAACTGTGAATCCTACAGTATCAAGAATTTACTAATTTATTCAATGACAATCATGTCATCATCTTCTGGAACATCATCATCACAATCCAATTCCTGAATTTCCTGGTGAATTTCTTGTGACTCCATTTCTTTCAGAATCAGTGGACCAAACCTCTCATGTTTAGCAATAGCATTCTGAGACAGATCCTAGGGGGGCCTTATTTTCAGGGGGATGCCTTATATTTCACTCAGAAGGAAACCTATAAGTAGGTCTTATTTTCGGAGATGTTTTATTTTTGGGGAAACATGGTATCTATCTATATATCTATCTATCAATCAATCTATCATCTATCTATCATCTATCTATCTATTATCTATCAATCTATCATCTATCAATCTATCATCTATCTATCTATCATCTATCTATCAATCTATCAATCTATCATCTATCTATCTATCTTCTATCATCTATCTATCAATCAATCTATCATCTATCTATCATCTATCTATTATTTATCTATCTATCTATCATCTATCTATCTATTATCTATCTATCTATCTATCTATCTATCTACCTATCATCTATCTATCTTCCATCCACCTATTTATTAAAGAATCCATTTTCTATGGATGCGCAAGGCACCGGGTCAGGGCTGCCTGCTGGGCCCGGTCAGAGTCCTGGCCGCCCTCTCCACTCCCATGGGGGTCCCGCTGCTCCCCGTGGGCGCCCAGTCCTCGGAGGAGGGTGGCTGAGGAGGGACAGAGAGGTGGTCACAGGTCAGAGGCCCTGCTCTCATTTCTGCTGGGGCCAAGCAGGCAGCCGCCAGGTGCTGCCGCCAGTGGCCGGGGACGGGGCAGGCTGAGCCCTGCTGGTCCTGCCCCCGCGCCTGCCCCGCATCTGGAACCAACTGCCGGCCATGCCCCACCAGCCGCAGTCCTGAGGCCTCACGGGCTGCTGGTGTCTCAGGCCTACATCACACCTGTGTGGTCCCCGAGGATCCCATGGGGGCACCTGAGGGGGCAGGACCCTCGGGACAGCCTCCCAGCAGCCCCTCCTCCTGCGGGAATCAGCTCAGGATTCTGCTGGTGGCCGCTGGAGTCCCCCAAGAGCACCCGATGCCCCAGGGCGGCTCCCGGCTGCTGCCCCACACCCAGGACCCCTGCTGCAGATGGGGCTGGGCAGGGCTGTCAGGACACAGCCAACGGGGCTGGAGGAACAAGGTACAGCTGGATAAAGGCTCAGGGTCCCCCAGTGTCCCAGAGCGTCCCCTCAGCCACCAGCCGGCCTCAGCCGGCGCCCCGCTGGGTCCCTGTGACCTTGGCAGGCAGCTGGCAGCCTGGAGGGTCTGGATGGCCGGGGCCTGGGCGGAGGGCCACGTGGGCGGCGGCAGCTCCCCCCTCTGCCCCTCACATGGCTGCAGCCTCATGCACCCGGCATGCTGGCACAGGTGAGGCGGCCTGGCCCGCCCCTCCTCCCCGCTGTCTCTTCCTCCCGCGGGTGGTGAGATGTGGAGGGAGGCACGCCCAGCCCTCAGCCACAGGCACTCCGGCTCTCCCACACGGGCAGCGGCTGCACCATGGGCAGGTGGTACCTGGGTGAGTCCCCTAAGCCCTAGTCCCTCCCTCCCAGACTCAGGCCCGGTGCACCTCCTGCCTCCCAGAGGGCCGGGCAGGAGCGAGGGGGGCCCTCTGGGTGCGGGCGTGGAGCCTGGCTCACTCCGTCCCACTCTGAGCTGAGCTCTGGCGAGGCGACCCCCAAAGCCTCCTCTCCTGTGTCCGTCCGTCCGTCCGTGCGTGTGCGGGAGCTCGGAGGCCACTTCCCGGTGCCTGCTGGGAAGTTAATTAACTCGCTGTGCTCCCGTTTCTTCTCCGCACCCGTGGGCAGGCGCCTTCCTCAGCTGCTAAGCTGAGGGTTAGCCAGGAGGTTTGTGAGCTCAGCACGGGGCCCTGCCAGAGTTCAGAAATTCCGTACCAGCGCTCTCCTCATCCTCTTCCGTCGACGACCACCTGCCTGTCTCTTTGTCTGTCTGTCATCTGTCACCTATCTATCTGTATCTATCTAATCTATCCTCTATCAGTCTATCTATCTATCATCTATCACCTAAATATCTATCATCCATCTGTCATCATCTACAATACTATCACCTTTTGTCTGTCTATCTATCATCTTCTATCTGTCTATCTATCATCTACAATCATCTATCTATCTATCTATCTATCTATCCATCCATCCATCCATCTTGCCGCTGGTTCTTGCATCCCCTGTTATCCAGAGAGACTCAGGCTGGCCTGCAACACAGATGCCGAGAGGCTGAGAGAGTGTGCACTGAGGACAGGGGCCCTGGGAGAGGCAGGCGCTGCGGGCGCAGCCAGAGCCGGGGTGTCCAGCCCGCGTGGCCCCTGAGGGGTTCTCAGACAAGCCCCTGCCTCCTGCCCAGTCTTCCTGGCACACCCAGTGGCACCCCGGGCACCTCCAGGGCTTCTGTGGGAGCACAGAGTCAGCCTGTCTGTTTACCTGTGGAGGGAGCTCCCTGGCCTCCGGGGTCAGAGCCTGCGAGTGTGACGGGCCAGGCCACATCCCCAAAGGCGAGGGGAGTGGGGCCTGGCTCCCGGCTGCAGGCCCGTCTCCTTCTCATTGGGGGTTTCTGAGTCCAACAGCGGATGCTCCTCACAAAGCTACATGCTCAGCGACCCCTCCGTCAGCACAGCCAGTGCCGTGATGACACTTCCTGCACCCTAGCTCTGCGCCCTGAGAGGGGCACCCACCTCACCGCAGCGCAGGGGCTGGGGCGCAGCGCGGCCCTGAGCTCACCCCTGACCCGCCATTGCTCAAGGAGGGTCCCCGGGGGTGACGCGCCCCCTTCCACCCCACCCCCAAGCCCCGGAGCCCTGGCCTTGAGCGTCAGCTCTTTTTGGAGGTCGATTCACTGGACTAGAACTCACCCAGCCGGGCAGCTGAGCACCTTCGGGGTGCCCAGCGCCAGGGCCCCCGGGGAAAGGAGGCCACAGCGGAGGGGGAGGGGTGTCAGAGGCGTGGGAAAGCACCCCACGCCTGGCTGTCCTCTCCCCCTCACCGCTGTGCCACCGTGGGACAGAGCCCTGATCTCTGGGCCACAGACACTCCCCTGGGGATGGGCAAATAAGACAAAGCACCAGTTGTGGGTCCTCCCTCGCAACCTTGGAGCCTGGATGCCAACCGCCCCTGGTGGCTGGGAAGGGAAGTGCAGCGGCAGGGCAGGCTGGGCAGGCATGGCTGAGCTCTGAGGTGGGAGCAGGGGGTGCAGCTGGGGGCGGAGGGGGGTGAGAGAGGAAGCAGAGGCCTGGGGGGTGCCCTGCCTGGAGGGCGCAGGGGCGGGAGGGGGAGGGGACCGCCCTGCAGCCTGAGGACCTGGGAACTCCTCGGAGAAGGGACCTCCGCTGCTCGGCTCAAGGGCAGCTGCAGGGTGGGGCCTCCGGGGCGCCCTGCCCGGGGACAGCACCCTGGACAGTTTGAAATCCCGTCTCCTGTGCGGGCGGGTGGCAGCCCAGCAGGCCCGGCCTCCTGGCTTGCGCTCTGGAAATTTCCGTGGGGAGAGTCTGGAGCCCCGGCCAGCCCTGACCCGCCTGCCGGCACCTCCTCACGCCCAGGCGCCCCTGTCCACGCGGTAAACATTAGCTGGCACAGTTAATGTTTAATGCCCCCTCATCCGGCACCCCGGCCACCGGGCATTCTCCGGGCAGAGCGGCGGGCGAGGCAGCGGGATCAGTCCAGTCCACGGCAATGGCAGGGGTGCCCACGGCCGAGGGTGAGTGTGTCCCCCAGACGCATGGGGCACAAGCGGCCCCGCTGGGACCTGTCGGAGGGGCAGCTGGGTCCCAGGTGTCCCCCCGCACCCCAACCCTTGGCCTCAGCCTCCCTCCCAGGGCCGCCTCCAGAGAAAGGACACTTGCTGTAAGAGGACCCTCCCTCACCACAGCTGGAATGCAGAGCGCCGGGCCCCAGGGTGCCAGCGTGGCCTGGCATGGCGCCTGCCCTGGTTCCGCTCTTCCCGGCTCCTGGGCTCAGACAGGAGGCAGGCGGTGTCCGGGCGGGGTGACGGAGGCCCCAGTGAGGGCCCAGCCCCAGAGGTGCCTCACGGAGGGGACTCAGCTTGGACACCAGCAAGGCCTTTGTGTCTGTGGTGGCTTCTCAGACGCTCAGGAGGGGCCCCTGGTGGTGAGGGGCCGGGTAGGCAGGCCTCTGACACTGACTCCCTGGCACCTTGGATGAGGCTTGAATTCGGACAGCCTCCAGGCCTCCTTGTGGGGAGGCCTGGCCTCCGTGTGGGGAGGCCCAGCCCGCTGCCTCCCTCGGCCTCCGTGTGGGGAGGCCCAGCCCGCTGCCTCCCTCGGCCTCCGTGTGGGGAGGCCCAGCCCGCTGCCTCCCTCGGCCTCCGTGTGGGGAGGCTCAGCCCGCTGCCTCCCTCGGCCTCCGTGTGGGGAGGCCCGCTGCCTCCCTCGGCCTCCGTGTGGGGAGGCCCAGCCTCCTGCCTTCCTCGGCCTCCGTGTGGGGAGGCCCAGCCTGCTGCCTCCCTCGGCCTCCGTGTGGGGAGGCCCAGGGAGCTGGGGTCGGGAAGCGGGGTCGCCGGCCCTGTGACCTCCAGGGCACAGCTCGCACAGCCCGGGAGGTGCCACCCTGCTCACCCCTCCACCTCGGGCACAGCTCCCCTCGGCCCAGGAGGGCTCAGGAGGGCAGGAGAGGGGCTGGCCGTGCAGGGAGCTCGGGCTGCCCTCCAGGCCCCAAGGTCGAGTGCGCCCAGCTCCAGGCCGAGGGCGGGGCTGCGGGCTGCGGGCGCGCTGTGCCAGGGCGGGTGCCAGGGCGAAGGCCCCCTCCGAGCGCCCTCCCGCGGCTGCTGGACCAGCAGTGCCCGCGCTCCGGGAGAGCGGCTCGGAGAGAAGCGTCTAGAAGCCTGGTCCAGGACCGTCCTACCTTCCTGGGATTTGAGACGAGTCTCCCATCTGGGCTTCAGCTCCCTCCCCCTCTGTCCGTCCGTCTGTCCGCCTCGAAGCCCCTTGGGGGATGAGTCTTAAGGGGAGGCCGCAGGGGGAGGGGCGGTGGGAGGCGCCTTCACGGCCTCTTCCTGCTTCTGGTACAGGGGGCGGCCTCCCAGCGCCAGGTCCGGTGGGGCTGGCCGCTCGCCCGAGGCAGCAGCCGGGGCAGAGGTGTTCGCGCCGCCAGCTCCCCCTCGGACGGCCCTCACCGCCGCCTCCCACTGGGCTCCGGGTGTGGGCCGGGGTCAGAGCCTGTGTCTGTGGCCGTGACCTGCCCTCCCGTCTCCCCAGGTGGCAGCCCCGGGGCGGACGTGGACCCGTTCCACTACGGTAAGCCCGGTGCCCGCCCTCCCCCCCCCCCGCCCCCCGGGGCCCAGCCCTCCCCCCGGCTGTGACCGCCCTCCCGGGGACCAGGCGGGTCTGCCCATAACCCACCCTCCTGCCTCTTGTCTCCAGACTACGAGGTCGTCCGCAAAGGGGGCCTGATCTTTGCCGGCCTGGCCTTCGTGGTGGGGCTCCTCATCATCCTCAGTAAGTGGGCTGCCTCGTGTCGGGGTGCGGGGACGTCCTTCCTGAGCCCTGCCTCCCGGGGGGGTCCCCTCTCCGCCCTGCAGGCCCTGGGGGAGGAGAATCTCCCCTTCCCACCCTCCCTTCCCCTCCCTTCCCTTCCCTTCCCCTCCCTCCCCTCCCCTCCCTTTCTCTCCCCTCCCCTCCCCTCCCCTCCCTTCCCTTCCCTTCCCCTCCCCTCCCCTCCCTTTCTCTCCCCTCCCCTCCCCTCCCCTCTCTTTCTCTCTCCTCCCCGCCCCAAGCTAGATGTGGGGACCAGCAACAACCTGATGCAGGGAGGCAGGGAGGCATGTTGGGGTGCCTCCCTGTTTGGTCCCTGGACCGCACAGAGGAGGGTCCATCTTTCTAAAGTGCACCCTCGCCAGCTGGTGTGGGCCAGTGGTCGAGGGTCGACCTAGGAACCAGAAGGTCACGGTTCGATTCCAGTCAGGGCACAAGCCCGGGTTGTAAGCTCGATCCCCAGTGTGGGGCGGGCAGGAGGCTCTCTCCCATCATTGATGTTCCTCTCTCTCTCCCTCTCCCTTTCTCTCTGAAATAAAAAGATAAAGAAAAAGAAAAAATGGAATAAAGTGCACCCCCCCAGCCGAAACTGGTTTGGCTCAGTGGATAGAGCGTCGGCCTGCGGACTGAAGGGTCCTGGGTTCGATTCCGGTCAAGGGCATGTAACTTGGTTGCGGGCACATCCCCAGTCAGGGGTGTGCAGGAAGCAGCTGATCAATGATTCTCCCTCATTGATGTTTCTAACTCTCCATTCCTCTCTCTTCCTCTCCGTAAAAAATCGATAAAACAAAACATAAATAAAAACAAGTGCACCCTCCGGGGGACCCCGGAGCTGCCGGGAGGGAAGGTCCCCCTGAGGAGGGGCCAGGGCAGGGAGGACCCTCCACCAGACACTCACACCCTCAGACCCGCACGTTCCTGGCTGGGCTACCTCAGCGCCCGGGCCCCCGTCCCCGGTCTCCGCGGACAGCAGGCTCACCCGCCCCGGGCGCCAGCCGCCCCGGGGCTGCCCGCGCCCTCGCCACCTGCTGCCCGGAAGCCGGGCGGGAGCTGAGGGCGGGGCTGCTGCCGTTCACGTGGAGCCCGGCTCCCCGGCCGGGCTGCTCCGAGTCAGGTTGGGGCGATCCCACTGCCCTTGAGGGTGGAGGGGCATACAGGGGGCGACGTGGGCCGCGGGTTCCGGCACGGCAGGGGCAGGGACAAGAAGGATGCCTGGATTTGTTCTGATTGAACCAGAAGGAAAGTACACGGGAATGCACTGAGTGGACAGACACAGACGGTGTCCGGGACCTAAGGCGCCGGGCAGCCTCCCCACTTTGGCTCTGTCTGCGGCCGCTGCGCCCGGCTCCCGGCTCCCGGCTCCGGCTCCCGGCTCCGGCTCCCGGCTCCGGCTCCCGGCTCCCGGCTCCGGCTCCCGGCTCCCGGCTCCCGGCTCCCGGCTCCGGCTCCGGCTCCCGGCTCCCGGCTCCGGCTCCCGGCTCCGGCTCCGGCTCCCGGCTCCCGGCTCCCGGCTCCCGGCTCCGGCTCCGGCTCCCGGCTCCCGGCTCCGGCTCCCGGCTCCCGGCTCCCGGCTCCGGCTCCCGGCTCCCGGCTCCCGGCTCCCGGCTCCCGGCTCCGGCTCCCGGCTCCCGGCTCCCGGCTCCGGCTCCGGCTCCCGGCTCCCGGAGCAGCCGCTCTGTGCCCGCACGGGGCTGAGAGCACTGCCAGGGCCCGGGCCCACTGTGGACCCTCTGGGCCGGCGCCCTGGGCCCGGCCCAGCTCTCTGTGCGGCCGGCGGGGCGGGAAGGGCCGGGGCTGAGTCCGGGGGGAGCCTCCTGGAAGAGAGGGGCCCACGGACACCGACGGCTTTTCTCTTTCAGGCAAACGGCTGCGCTGCGGGGGCAAAAGGAAGCACCGGTGAGTGCGGTGGGAGGTGAGGGGGGCGGGACCCGGGGCCTCTTTGAGCTTTGGTCCCCCACCCGGGCCCAGTCTTCCCCTCTTCCCCATCACTGCCTCTCCGCCTCCTCTCCTCCCCCAGGCCCGGCGCCGACGAGGAGCTGTGATGGCAGGTGCGCAGGACGGGCGGGTGGCGGGCGGCCGGGGGCAGAGGAGGGAGGAGGAGGGTTGGGGGCTGGGTGGGAGGCTGGTAGGGTGTCTGTTCACCCACCAGGCAGCCCGTCACCCGTCGTGGTTCCAAACGCTGGCCGGGTGCCAGGGGCCGCGGAGGTGCCGGGAGAAAGGGGGGGCGGAATAAGGAGAGACGGGGGAATCCTGGCCTGGCCGTCCTGCCCACCACTGCCTCTGTCTTCCAGGATCGGCCAGGCCACCGCCGCCTCCACAGGCCTCTGTGCCCGGGGCCAGGCCCTCGGGCTGAAGGGAGCACCCGGCTTCACCCTGGCCCGCCCCCTCCCCCGGGGCCGCCTCTTCCTGATAATAAAGCCGAGTCAGACGTGGCTTCTGCTCCCGCCTCCCCCTTAGCCGCCTGACCCACGCCTCCAGGCTGGGGGGCAGCACAGCCCGCCCCCGGCCTCCCCTCACGGCTCAGGCGCGGGGCCAGGAGCCCGCGGCCTCTCCTTGCCCTGAGCCATCACGTGCCAGACGGACTCCGCCTGTCCTCAGGGCCAGGCCGGGAGGGGCAGGATCCAAAGGCCACGGGCTCCGAGCTGCTGGGCGCTGGCCAGGCCTGGGCGCCGCTGGGGGCGGCCCCACGTGCAGCGGTGGTGGCCACACTGTGCGCCATCTCCCCTGGTGTACCCCAGGCCAGGCCGGGCCCTGCGCCCAGCACGTGCTCTCCCTGCCAGCCTCCCCCGCCGGCCCCTGACCCCGGTGCTGAGCCCGGCCATGCCTTTTCTGCTCTGGACTCGAGACTCATCGAGCCCCCACTCCCCTCCAGTGCGTTGTATTTGGGTGCTGGCTTGTTGATCCAGGACGAGGGGGCAGGGAGTGGGCAGCGAGAGGGTTTTGTTTCCACTTCCTGCAGCCCCTGTCCATCCTTGCGGGCTCTAGTCAAGAGCTTCGGCCCAAGGTGGCCGGGCTGGCCGCCCACCACACCCACCCCCTAATGCCGGGGACCCTGCAGCGCCACAGGCTCCCGTGGGCAGCGTCGCCCTCGCCTGCCTGCCCCGCGGAGGCTGTCCGGGGGCTGGAGGGATGGCGGGTCCTGGCACCGGCTGGTGTCCTGTTTCCTCCTCTGGGTCTGCAGGCCTCCGAGGCAGGGGAGGGAGGACGGGCAGGGAAGCAAGTGTGCGGGTTTGAAGTGTGTGTGTGTGGGGGGGGGGCGGGGGAGGCTGGCTGGCGTGGCTCAGTGGTTGAGTGTCGGCCTATGAACCAGGAGGTCTCGGTTCAGTTCCCGGTCAGGGCACAGGCCCAGGTTGCAGGCTCGATCCCCAGTGTGGGCTGTGCAGGAGGCAGCTGATCAATGACTCTCCTATCACTGATGTTTCTATTTCTGTCTTCCTCTCCCCTCCTCTCTGAAATCAATGAAAATAGATTTAAAAATAACATAACATGAGCGGGGTGGCTGGGGAGCAGAGGCGGTGAGACACCATCCGTGTGAGGATGGAGCTCTCTGCCTCACCCGCTGCCCAGGACCCGGCCCACAGCCACACCGAACCCCGGCCTGCACACAGACCGTCCTTCAGAGCACAGGGGAGCCTCCTCCTCAGGGTGTGCCTGCAGGGGGCGCACCGGGACAAACAGAACGTGCCGGCCCAGCCCTGCAGGGAGCGCAGTGCTCTTACTGAGATGGCACACGCGTGGGCTGTCCGTGGCCGTGGGGGACGGGACAGGAAAGGGGGCCCCCCGCGGGCTTTCAGGGGCTCCTGCAGCTTCTGGATGAGCAGAGCACTCCAGGAAGAGGCCGTGGCGCCGGGAGAACACAGCGGGAGGGAAGCATTCGCACACAGGCCCCCCACGCCTGCCAGCGGCTGGGCTGGAGAGACAGCCCTCTCTGTCGCTGCTGCGAACCCGAGGCCGTGGGGACCAGGGCGTCTGCCCGAGGACCTGGGTGCTGCTCAGCCACCAGACACCCAGCGCCTCCAGCCTGCGGACCGTCCACCAGGCTGGCTCCCTCAGGCTGGCGCCCGACCAGCTGCAGGCGCATCCTGCTGACCTGGACCCGCTCCTCTCCCCTCCCCTCCCTCCCCTCCCCTTCCCTCCCCTCCCCTCCCTCCCCTCCCCTTCCCCTCCCCTCCCTCCCCTCCCTCCCCTCCCCTCCCCTCCCCTCCCCTCCCCTCCCTCCCCCTCCCCTCCCTCCCCTCCCCTCCCCCCCTCCCCTCCCCCCCTCCCCTCCCCTCCCCTCCCCTTCCCTTCCCATGAAGGTACTGTGGACGGGAGCTACTAGACTCTCGTTTCCCTTGGGACTTTCCACAACCCAAATGGAATCACGGAGTAGCCCAGCCTGAGAAGCCATTGGATGCAGGTCTCCCATCACAACAGAAACGGCCTGTCTGAGGGCCTGCGGTTCCCATCCTCACCACCAGAGGGGGCGCGTGTCCTACTGGAACTCTTCAAATCTCGAGTTTTCCACCCTCTTGCTTAGGGCTGGGCGGGGGCCTTTGCAGCGAGGAGGGGCCCCCAGAATGGTCTGCCAGGAGGCCAGGTTCCTGAGGGCACCCCTCAGGGCACCGCCCTCCTATGGGGTGGTCCTCGGCCAGGGTCCTGAGCCCTCACTTGCTCTGGGAAGTGGGGAGTACGGAGGTCTGCACCTTCCCCAGGGCTGCCACAGCCTCCAACCCCAGTCCGATTCCTCAGCACCAGCAGCAGGGCGTGGTGAGGTGCAGGGGACGGGGCTGAGCAGCCTTCTGGACGCAGCTGCAGAGTCTGACTCAATGCTTGGGGCCTGGGGGTTTGAACCCCCAGAGGAACTTAGCGGGAAGTCACTGGCCTGGTAGGTGGCAGGGCCGAGGGGGCCTGAGGAGAGTGGGGGCCAGACCCAGGAGTGGGGCTGAAGGTCTCGGGGAGCTCAGCTGGGCCTGCTGTGCAGGGGAGGAGAGGCCGCCCTCGGCCCAGAGCTCCTCCCACTGCCCCCTGCCCCTCCGGGGAGTGTTCTCTGGGCCCCGAGGCCGAGCTGGCCTTGGACACGGGCCTGGGGCCGCTCCGCGCCTGCCCGGCTCCTCACTGCACATGTGGAGAAGCAGGTGCAGACCAGCGGGCAGGAGGGGCACTGTGAGCCATCAGCCCACACCCTGTCTACTGCCCAGCCTCACCCTCTGCCCCCTTAATGAACGGGCGCCACACATGGGGGGGGGCAGAGAAGGACGCTGGGGGGACGGAGGGCAGAGGTTCCCTCTCTGGGCCTGACGGGCCCCCTGGCTGGTGGATCCCCGGCGGGGGGCGGGGGTGGGTTCCCTCCGGGAACTGGGCTCCCCTCGGGAGAATCAGAGGCATGGACTGGAATGGATGACCTCTGACCCCACAAGCGTTGACATCTCTTCTGGAGGAAGGGCGCCCCTGGCACAAACTTCTGGTTTTTCTAAACTTTGAGACTTTGGGGACCCTGCAAGCAAGCTCAACTCTCCCAGCTGAGCAAGGAGGCCCCCAAACGCACCCTGGGCACCCGGGCATCTGCCCTGCCACCTCCGCTCCCCTCAGTCCTCCCCCTGGGCAGACGGGGGCGGGGGTGGTGGTGAAGGGGGCCTAGGGCTGAGGGGGCCCCTGGGCAGACGGGGGGCCCAGGGCGGGGGGTGCTGAGTCTCCCCTCAGCCGTGCCCTGTGCCCTCTCTCCTGGCCCCGGGTGGCGGCTGCTGCGGAGAGAGGGGCCGGCTCCCACTGACCTCCGGCCGAGTGTGATCCAGCCAGGCCCCGTCGCCTGGCCCGGGGGGGCACAGGCCCCGCACCAGCCTGTCCTGCCGTCGGGGAGGCCCTGGCCCGGCCTCGATCCAGGGCCGGGCAGCCCTCTCCGGGGCCTGGGAGGCAGGGCTGGGCGGCGGGCAGGAGAGCGGGCCAGGCCCAGCCTTTGGAGCTGCGCTGGGCCTGGGCTCCTCCCACTGGGCAGACGGGCCTCCAGACAGACAGGGCCTGCGCTGCGGCCGGAGGGGTGCCTCTCAGCCTGGCAGACACACGGTCGGGAGGCAGGTGGGCGACCCCTGCCAGGCCCTGCTCTGGCCCTGGGGCTGCGGCCCTGACCCAGGCGCCTCCCCCAGCCCGCCCAGCCTGGCCTGCACACTGCACCCGCCGGGAGCCATCCCCCAGCTCCTCACGTGTGGCTGCTCCCGGGAATGCCCACTGCCGCCCCGGCTCCTGTGCTGTCACCAGTGCCCAGGGAGCCAGCGGGGGAGGGGGCTCCAGGCGGCCCCTCGGGCTCACGCCCTGCAGCTCAGTATGGCCGCTGCCAGCTGGCACAGAGCTGCCCCGGGCCCGGCTGCCCTGTGTGACCCTGAGAGCCACGGTCTGCCTCTGGACTGGGCTGTGGGAAAAGCAGACACAGGATAAATGGCAGGCACCGGCTTCCAAGGGAGGGGCTCCGGGAGGGAGAGTGGGAGCTGTGGCCAACCCCTATTCCCTCCTCCCCTTCAGTCCTCCCCCTCATCCCTCCCCCCTCAGTCCTCCTCCTCAGTCCTCCCTCTCATCCCTCCTCCCCCTCAGTCCTCCTCCTCAGTCCTCCCCCCTCATCTCTCCTCCCCCTCAGTCCTCCTCCTCAGTCCTCCCCCCTCATCCCTCCTCCCCTCTCAGTCCTCCTCCTCCTTGTCCCTCCTCCCCTTCAGTCCTCCTCCCCCTCAGTCCTCCTCCCTCCTCAGTCTTCCTCCCCCTCAGTTCTCCTCCCCCTCAGTCCTCCTCCCTCCTCAGTCTTCCTCCCCCTCAGTTCTCCTCCTCCTCAGTCCTCCCCCCTCATCTCTCCTCCCCCTCAGTCCTCCTCCTCAGTCCTCCCCCCTCATCCCTCCTCCCCTCTCAGTCCTCCTCCTCCTTGTCCCTCCTCCCCTTCAGTCCTCCTCCCCCTCAGTCCTCCTCCCTCCTCAGTCTTCCTCCCCCTCAGTTCTCCTCCTCCTCAGTCCTCCCCCCTCATCTCTCCTCCCCCTCAGTCCTCCTCCTCAGTCCTCCCCCTCATCTGTCCTCCTCCCCCTCAGTCCTCCTCCTCAGTCCTTCCCCCTCATCTCTCCTCCCCCTCAGTCCTCCTCCTCAGTCCTCCCCCCTCATCTGTCCTCCTCCCTCTCAGTCCTCCTCCTCAGTCCTCCCCCCTCATCTCTCTTCCCCCTCAGTCCTCCTCCTCAGTCCTCCCTCCTCATCCCTCCTCCCCTCTCAGTCCTCCTCCTCCCTGTCCCTCCTCCCCCTCAGTCCTCCTCCCCCTCACTTCCTGGCTCTCTGGAGACCAGCGGCGGCTGGTGCGAGGCTGTGGCTGGGGAGAGGGTGATGAGAAAGTGTCCTGATGGAGTGAGACTGTACGAGTGAGTGCGTGTGTGTGTGTGGGGGGGGGGGGGTGACGGCTGTGCAGACAGGAAGTCATCAGAGGGTGCAG